CTAAATTTTGTACCAATGAAAATTATTCTCTCGAGACGACTTTAGGAACGGCAAAAATGTGTAGCTTAATAATATTGCAATATTCCAGTCACCGCTGCTGCGTAAAACGTGAAAGGAACCGTGAGACGACGACCGGCATGGGACCCTGGTCACTGAGGATGCACTAAAACCATCGATGTAACTCAGTAATATCTCTTCGACTCTAACTCGCATTAGCGTGTGTATAAATTGTATTATTTTGATTTTACAGGGGACATAATAATACTGCAATTTCAAATTCTGAGCGAGTTTACAGCGAATGGTTTTACGATGATGTTTATTTTTTATTTTTATAGTGTACGGAATTTCTACCGGAAATCTTACGCCGATTCAATAGCAATAATCAAATTATTAATAATTATAAATAATTCAATAATCAATAGCAGCATCTTTTCCGAAAGGGAATTTTATCCCGTTAGTACTTTAGAGGGGTCCTGTTTTGATTTTCCAAGCGGGTTTCATAGTAATAATTGAGAAAAACCGGAAAAAACGTAGGAAAACCATAGGGATAAACGGACAAATATTTTCGTCGAAAAATATCCGTAGAGACTTGAGATTTGGACAGAAAACTCATATTTATTTTTTAAACGTGGTAAAATTTTCAAAAAATTTAAGCCATTTTTGAATTATTTATAAACATTTTAATTTTGCGTGTTTTTTACCTAATTTTTATTATAAGTAGGTACTCGTGGATAAAATTGTTAGATCAAACAGTAATGCTTGAAAATTAAACAGGAAATTCATTGTATCTCGATACTTTGTGACCAAAAAATAAATAATAACAATTAGAGGTTATACAGTATTTTTTTTAAAAGAGTTTTAATATCAAATTCTGACGAAATTCATAAATATTACGGCCTTTTAAAACATGTACAACCAAAATTCGCTCCGAATCATTCTTCGTTAGCAATAGTTTATCATTGTATACTGATATGAATTAAATTCCCCTATTTATCCTACTTTATCAATTTCTCAACTACAACCATTGTCCACACGTGGGAAGTATGTCTGTCATTTTAAAAATGTAATTAAAAAAAATAATTTTTTCTCTTTCATTGAAAACATTTTGCTGTTTAGACAAATGCTCTGATTTTTGTACACAGTATCAAAATAAATTCAGAATTTCTGTAAAGTGGTAGGTACTTTATGACACTTTTAGACATTGTCAACATTTCGTCCTGTTTGCCCATTTTCTTTGGAAATTCAATTTTCGACCAGAAAACTTACACCAAAAAATAAAAATTTAATAGAACCTTTCTTGTATCATTTTGGCCGCTTGTCGATTCATTAGATGGGTAATGTTTTGAAATTTCGTTAAAATATATTAGTACAAAATTGTTTAATTTTTAATCTTAATTAATATTAACATTTTTCTGAATTTATATAAACTTCTGCAAATAACGCTTACAATTTAGGTAAGCTTGACATCGTGTGAACGTTCATTTTTAGGTTTAAAATTTATCATTATTTTACACAGAAAGAGACATGGTAGGTAATATAAAATAATATTAATCATGTTTTTATGTTAAACACTTTTTTCGAAAAAAGTATACGGTTAAACTTAGTTCTAAAATTTATTTGTAATTCTTAGACTTACTGTCTTAGTTCTTGTACCATTAAAACATGTTTGTTCTTGAAAATATAAAACCAGCATCTAAGTATTTATTTCTATTTGCATTTCATTACGTTAAATTTAAATATCTATCTATATTATGATATGTATACCTACATAATATACTTAATTATAATAATATGCGAGTTAAAATGTTTGTGTTTTATTTTATGAAATATTTTTAATTCACTTGATTATTATAATATTAAATTCAAATTAATAATTCCAAAGTTCTTGAGGTGGTTGGACTCCCAAAATCCTCTCCTAAATAACCTTGTGCTTTTAAAGGGCGAGGGGGCAATGACATACCGGCACCTACGAGTAGGTATATAATATAGTAGGTATATATAATAGTTGTATAACATATGTATGTACCCATTTATCCAATATTTTGTTTTTTGTCAGAAACCATCACGCTACGCCTATCTACACCTATGCATATAGGATAGAGGATAATTTAGTTCATATACTAATAAACAATTGCAATCAAAATATGATTCTGAGCTGAAAAAAGGTATCTGGTTATTATTTAAATAAAGCAAAGTTTTTGGTCAAAAATTTGTCAACACTGTTTACAGACAGACAATTTTTTTAAAAAAAAAAAACTGATCATAGAATATCAATAAATCTATTTGCGTTCCCAATTTAAAAATATATTAGTGTAGTATACAAAATACATTATAAGTAAAAATGATAAACAACTTAAAAGCAAAAATAAATGCTCTAATAGATATAATCCTCGGTAGTATAGTGGTAAGTATCCCCGCCTGTCACGCGGGAGACCGGGGTTCGATTCCCCGCCGGGGAGGAAAATTTTTTTCGTTTTTTTTTATAAAAAAACTCAAAATAGTTTTTATTTCATACAATACCGTATTCATTTCACTAACTTAATCACTGTTAAAACGGTTTTTTTTTAATATTTATATATAATAATATATATAGTTTATATATAGTAATATATATATATATATATATATATACCATTAGTGACACAATAGTTGATAGTTGTAGGTTGCACGACTACAGTAAAACAATACAAATGTTAAATATATTTTATAATATTATATATAAGTACTATTAATATTGAATATTATGAATTATGATCATTTTTTATATCTGTGCGAGTGATTTAAATTATTATTATTATTATTATTAGGCCATTAGAAGTGTTTTGACGAAGTAATCAGTTTAGTGATTAAATTCAAGGTTATAAAATATGCTTATCATACTATTCACACGTGTTATCATAGTAACCTAACATCAGTAAACCCCTTTACAAACTCGAAATGGACGGTTAAAGCTTAATTAATTTTGAATAAAATTCACTAAACTTTTTACTAGAAAGAGTAACTGGGTTCCAGTAACAAACTATCAAAAAAGTTATCATTAAGTAATCCGTTAAGTCACGATTACAATGTCAAAACACACCTATTATAAATAGTTATAGGCCACCAGACGGAAAGACAAATGTGTTTACTGAGAATATCTGAAATGATATTTTTAGGAGCCATTTTGGAGAAATGCTTTCGGAGTTTTTTGTGTACCAAGCCGATTATGATGGATAGTAGTAAATAATGTTGTAATTACATTATAGTAACTAATATTTTCACGTTCAGAAAAGGCAAATATAAGTTTTCTGTCAAATTTTCAAGTCTCCACAAATATTTTTAACTGAACACTACTCGTATTGTGTTTTATATGTAGTTACATTTTAAATTTCGAACATAGCGCGAAATCTATGCAAACCATGGAAAGAACGGGAAAATTTACTTGTTATAATTTTATTATTTTGTTGTAATTCTGTTAAGAATATTCATAGAGTTTAAAAATTTAGGCACTAAACTTTTATTGGCCTTTTGTTGATGTACATTTTCAAAATATTTTGCCGGTTTTTGAGTCATTTATACGTATTTTATAATTGTAAGTGTTTTTATGTATTTTTTATTATATGGTACTATGTGGATATATAATTGTATGACTAAACAAAAGTGCATTGATATTTAACAGGAAGTTTAATGGAAGTTGTTTTTAGTGGTCAAAAAATAAAAGTAGATTGTAATGGAGACATTTTTTTTGTATAGTAAAATAGTTTTAAGATCAAATTTTGAAGAAAATCTGAAATATTTCAGCCTTTAAAAATAGGTATAAACGAAATTTGCTCTGAATCGTTTTTCGGTAGCAATGGTTTAGCATTGCCTACAGATATAAATTAAATAACTTTATGTATTCTACTTTCTCTACTTCCTTCCTATAACATTTGCGCATTCATCAGCAGTATCAGCTATTTTTGTTTTTGTTTTTTTTTTTTTTTTTTTTTTTTTTTTTTTATCTTGAAGGCCACCAATGAAACAAACAGGAAAAAGAGCAAAAAAAAATATTAACATTAGAGAAAAATGCAACACAGTAACTGTTGTTGGTTTAATATGTTGTTTCGCACAAATTTCCCCCTCTCTCCCCGAGCACCATCAAATTTGCCACCCATGAGTAATTGCCCTCTCCCCCATTAAAGGCTGCTCTGTCGTGCTCTATCACGTACTGCTGTCGTAAGGCGTCTTTAAGGAAAATTATATTCTGTTTATAAATGTAGAAAATTTCATTACCTAATAAATCTTTTTAAAAATACGTATGATACTGCAGATACTTATCACTAATACGAACGGAAAAAAAACTCCATAAAATGGTATACGTTTGCAGTGTGTTTAAATATTATTATTATAATCAGAAAGTGACAGAAAAATATAGGAATATATAAAAAAAAGAGCTGATACTGCTTATGGGTGCGTATCTGTTATATGCGAGAAGTTGGGAATGTGAGATATATGAAATTAGTTAATTTATATCTGTAAGCAGTGATAAACAAATCAAAAATGATTTTGAGCGAAGTTAGTTTATACCTACTTGGTTTGTAAGGACGTAATATTTACGATTTTTTTCAAAAAATGATTTTAAAACAAAAACAAAATACTACATTACATTATTTTTTTTTAGAACTTATAATGAAGTTCCTGTTAAATGTACATTTCTGGTTGGTGAAACAATTATATCCACATAACTACCAAACTAAAACTACATAAAAACACAGTTGCTCACAGAATCACAGACACAAGAGAAACACACATCATAATATTAAATCAATAGATGCCTCGCCATGCTCAGAATCTAAAAGTATGTCAAAAGGTTCGAAACGATATCTTTTCAACTCTTGTATTTGATACGATGGATGGTTGGTCCATGTGTCATGTGTCGATAAGAGTATAATAACAATATTAAAATAATAATTAGATAAATTATCATTTCAAAGAGCACACCCCACGCGTTCTCTATGTATAATAATTTTATCGTACTTCCTAAAAAAAAAAAAAAAAATATAGATAGCACGTCGTTTGATTTTTTTTATATTACAATCATTTCGTTTCGTTTCGTATAGTTTTGTAGACGCGGAAATACTAATTTTTTTTACAAAAATGATTTATTTTCTAAACAAATTATTTCATTGGTTTTTAATTTTGATTATTATTGGATGTTGCAGTTATAATTGTTCGGCGCAAGGTAAGTGTAAACATGTTTAATCAAATAACTGCACTTAAAAAAAAAATTGTAGCTTAGTGAATTATAATCAAACAATCATCTGCATAAACGCCAAAAATTAAATGGTAGACCATTTTAACGTCACGACCTAACATTTTCCGAAATAATTTTAATCGTGAAATTCGTCGGTAATATTCAGTCAGACCCATTGTATAGAAACCATTGATTCTTTGAAAATTTGAAATTTGGGTTAGTATATATTTTAATTAGTTATATATTCATTGATAATCAGTCTATAATTATTTAAGACATATCTGCAAAATAATCGTGTGATTTTGTTTGGTCAATTTTTTAATTTACTCAGAAAACCAAACGGATTCCTGTGTGTATACTAATAATATTATTAAACATTATAGTTGCTGTAAAATTTTATTTAAAAAATCTCAAAATAGTTACTCTTAATATTTATTTATTCGTTTTGTTCAGTGGATTTTAATGAAAAATGCCTGCCTCAGTTGGCCGATACATGTTTCAGAAAACTTTCTAAAAGTTTGAACTGCTACAACTCCATAATATGCGAAGATCCTAAGACGTTTTGCGAGTGAGTTAATATAGAAAACTTAATTATATTCTAATTATATACTTGCGTTGGTACTTCAAAGCAAACTTTGTTAAAAGGCTGTTGGACGATTCGTTGCAATGTTCGGCCGACATTATCAGCAGCGATTGCTCGGTAAAAAATGGAACGGCCAGATTCGATTCGTGGTACAAAGGATTCCGGTCCGTGTATTCGTATATGTGTCATCCTACAAAAGTCAACGGGTCACAGGAAACTGAGTTGCCCAGTAAGTATTCGAGTTATTTTTTGAACGTGTAACAGGCTATAATAATAAATTAATTTTTTGTATTCAATATTATTTCGATTCCACTAAGAATATAATATATATTGTAATTTAAGTCTGGAAGGGCCCAAACTCGTCCATAAAAATATGTGGGACACTGAGAGTTGACCTATAGAGATTATCATTTTCTAGACTTACATTACCTACAACACGTCGTGAACTTTTTTTAAATAATATAAGAAATAAAATCGCATGCTATTGTAACAAGACGGACATGCGTACAATGGAATGACCACTGTTGTAGGTGAGATATTAGGAAGATAGAATATGGAGAGGAATTTAATATATATCTATACGCAACGATTAATTATTGCTAAAGAAAAAGTGTGTAGTTTTGAGTTGAGTTCTGTTATACCAACATGTTTTAAAAGGCGGTAATATTTCCCATTTTCGTCAAAATTTGATATTAAAATTCTTATAAAAAAAATACTCTAAAACACTCAACTTTTTCTTGTTGACATTAATGACAGTTTATAATGTAACTATTATTTAGTTGTCAATCATTTCTGTTTGGTCTAACAATTGTATTCACAGAGAACCTACCGAATAATAATTACGTACAACCTCACAAAATGTAATGCTTGTAAATAGTTCAAGAATAGCTTGAATGTTTTGAAAATTTTACCACGTTTAAGGCAAGGTGTGTTTTCTGTCCAAATTGCAAGTCTTTACGAATATTTTTAATTAAACTATAACGAAAAAATAAAATTAAAAATAAAAACATTATTTTGTACATTTTCTCGTTGTTCCTAAGTTTTTTTCCCAATGTTTTCTAATTATTATGAAAATCGTTTGGAAAATCAACAAATCTTGTTGATTTTTTAATTTTAATGATCTCTTTAAGTATCATCTGGATACAATTGTCATTTAGAAAAAAAGTTAAACTTGAATATCAAAGTAAGATTTCTGGTATAAATTGCTTAAACAATATATACGTATAAAAATAAATATTTTTGTAAAACTAATACATTTACTCACTTTGCTGTCAATACAAATATCAATGTTTATTTCATTCATCAAATATATAATCAATTTATTCTGGTTTTATTTCTGTATTATTATACGACTGTTGTAATATGTGTCGAGATTTTATGATTTTATATTTGGTAGCCATATGGTAAATTAAAAATAGTGCTTCAGACTGCAGACCGACTGGCATCACGGCATTAATATACAAAATTATGCATGGGATTTCGACGTCCCGGATATTATATGGCACCTATCTACAAATTACAAACAAAGAGATATGTTTTCATAATATTTCATAATATTTTTTTCTGTTCCAACAGATGGCCAATTTATCAAAAAAAAAAATTTAAAAAAATAAAATAATAAAAGAGACATCGTAGGATAATAGGGACGGGTGCAGCCACTGTTATATATAATTTAGTGTACTCCTGTAAGCAACGATAAACCATTACTTACGAAAAAACGATCCTATGAGGAGTTCAGTTGATAATAATATACATGTAATTGTATAGAAAAATAATTAATTGGACTATAATATATATTTCCTTGAATAATATTTGTTTACTGTTGTACCGATTTTCCCAGTTTTCTCATGTTTTTTCCCGGTTTTACACATTTGCTGGGAATACTACTGAGAATATCAAAAAATAATCTCCCTAAAGTACCCCCCAACACCGATTTTTTTCAGGAAAGGAGCTAAATTTAGAAATCCGAGCAGGCCTTCTGGTAGAAAAATTAAAACAGTTAAAAAAACAAAACATCTTTGTAAAACCATAAGCTTCTTCGCTCCACTCAGAATTTAATACGTTTCTTATTGTTGTCGATTTATATACGATAGTAACTTTGGAAAATTTAGTGTCTAATGTGGTATTCATTGTAACGAATTATCATTTCCAAAAACAATCTTTTTTTTTTAAAAACTAAATTTTACTTGTATAGTTAAAATTAAGGTTTTATATAATACAGTCATTGTAAATTAAATTAAAAATTATATAAATATTCAAACAAAAAGTATATTTTTGAAATGAAATGTATAGTTTCGATAATTTAAAAAAACTAATAAAAAAAAAAAAAAAAAAACTTTACCAATGCACCAACTATGATAACATTTACTATTAGAAAAAATGCTAAAGGCACACTCAATAAATAATGTAAGATTTTTGTTAGAAAATTTATTAATAGATAGAAAAAAAACTTACATCAGAGTAATAAAACCAAAACACAGTTGCAGAATCCAAAATACAAAGATTCACACACATAATCGTATGATCAATAATACAAATAAAGCGTATTATAAGTAAGACAGTTATCTAAAATATAAGTTAACTGTCTGAAAAACGGTATCTAAAATATAAGTTACCGTTTTTCCATTAAATTAAGCAATCGGTCTGGGAATGGAAAGCAAAATAATAATCATATTTTATAATTTTTGAATAAATTGAATGGTTGAGGGGTTTTTTCACGTGAGCAAGTATCGGGTGTGATTGTATCCATGTAGGTAATTTGAGAGGTTCAAGCATATAATAACATACCTATTACCTAATAGTTTTATTTTCACTGGTCTCTCACTATAATAACATTGTGCATAATATTATGATGTTTTAAATGTGTAAATATTATTACTAAAATAACAAGTAAGTACATATTAAGTACCTACCTATCTGAATTTCAATTAGGAGTTAGAACAAACAAATTGTGTTGCATTTTATGCTATACGCATTTAAATTGGTTTTAATCCAAAACAACATTAATATATTAAAAAGACATCCTAGGATAACAGGGACGGGTGCAGCCACTGTTATAGCTAATTAAATGTATATCTGTAAGCAACGATAAACCATTACAAAAAAACGATCCTATGAGGAGTTCACTTAATAGTGGTACTTTGTCAACAATATATATGCCATATTACAATAAAATGATTAAGTAGGCTCTATATATTTTCTTAAATAAAATTTGTTTAATGTTGTACCGATTTCCCCGATTTTTCTACATTTTTCCTATATTTTTCCCAGTTTTTCAAATTTGCAGAAAACTCCGGAGAAAATCAGTAAACGACCTCTCTAAAGTTCTTTCCCAGTGAAATTTCTTTTTGGAAAATGTCTATCATTAATAATTGGAGCAAAATTGCTTGAAGAAAAGCTGTTAATAAAAATATTTGTATCGCTTTTATGAATTTGAAATTTGGACAAAAATCTTTAGGTTTACCTTTTCTATTGTAATACAGTTTTCAAACAATTTTAGCTATTTTGAAGTATTTATACACATTTTAATTTTAAGAGTTTTGTACGTAATATTTATTCGGTAGGTACTTGTTAGACTTGAACAAAAATGCTTCAAAATTTAACAGGAGGTTCATTAAGAGTCTTAATTTGTAGTCAAAAAAAAAAAAAATTTTATTTAATGCAGAATTTTTTTTTATAAGGGAATTTCACAACTAAATTTTGACTAAAAAATTACGTAGAACAAATCTAATTTTTCAATATTTTTTAGATTCCGAGCGTAGCGATTTATAAAACTTGCTCCGATTTGTACGTGTAGTAACATTGATTTTCGATGAAATTTTTAATTAGAAGCACTTACGTAGGAAAACGTACAATTTCACGATTCATTATTTTATAAAAACACGGACGACGTTTTCTACCAGAAAAATTAATTTAATCGAAAATCACAAAACACCTTTTTGTTGCATTTTTGATTTACTTTCTAACGGATATTCGTTATTCGCCAGGTAATGGTTTATCGATGCTTACAGATATAAATGAAATATATTTATATAATCTACCTTCCCAACTTTTTACCTTTAACAGTGACCACCCCCATCCTTGGTATCAGCTCTTTTTTTTTGAACATATGTGTATTGCTGATTTAAGAACGATGGTGAAGTTAGAATTGAGCAGATTGACAAAGTTTCTAAATTAGAGCTTTTTAAAGTTCTGATATGCGGATATTCTATGTTATGTTAAATAACTTAATATTGTCTTATGGAAGTATGTTTGTCGTAGTTTTTTTTTCCTGTAGACAACCTTTCTACCAGAATTTTTGATCCGATTTACAATGATAGCACTTTTTCAAAAAAGAAATCTGACTGAATAGGTATTTTAAAAAGATCTGTTTTCGATTATTCGATTGATCAAGAATTTTCCCAGCAAATGTAAAAAATCGGGAAAAAACACGAGAAAAACGGGAAAATTGGTACAATATTAAACAGATATTATTAAAGAAAATATATAATGCCTATTTAATTATTTTACTATAATATGACATATTTTTTGTTGAAAAAGTATCAGTATCAACTAAATTGCGGTCAGAATCGTTTTTTCGTAAGCAATGGTTTATCGTTGCTTACAGATATACATTAAATTACCTATACCAGTAGCTGCACTCGACCCCGTTATTTAAGAACTTCTTTTTTTTTCGTTTTTTTTTACATTTGATCAGAAAACTTTTGAGAAAATCGAAAAATGACCTCTCTAAAGAACTCTCCAATGAAATTTCCATTTAGATAAATTGCTATAATTATAAGTTGGAGAAAAAATGCTTGTAGAAAAGTTGTCCACAGAATAAAAAAAATAAACATCTTTGTAAAACTATACATTTCTTCACTCTACTTAGAATCTAAAATGGAAAAGTTATTTTATACAACTGCAGCAGTCGTTGCAGATGATTTTTTAATTAAGAAAGAGTGGTTTAAAATTAAACTCGATATTATAAAACCTTAAACTTCTTTTAACAGAAACGATTTTTCGTAACATCAGATATTACTATACAATTTGAATTACGTATTTAATAAACAATCGGTGAGTAGCTATTATTAAATACGAAACAATTTAACTAAAAGTTACAGAACATAATGACATTTATATATTTTAAATGAATTACGTAACTATTATATTAATTTGCAATGAGCTATATAAAATAGTGGGTTATTACGCTGAAGACGAAATTATCTGTGTAGATAATATAGTAAAATTATTTTTATCTCAGTGGTATTTTAGAGAAGTAGTTTTATGATTTTCCAAGCGATTTTAATTATTTTTTGGAAAAACACGAAAAAACATTGGAAAAACGGGAAAATTTACCAAATATATTATTATCAGTTTTGTTGTTTAGTTGTAATTGAGTTAGAAATATTAGTAGAGATAAGAAATTTGGACAAAAAACTTATATTTGTTTTCTATAGACGTGGTAAAATGTTCAAAATATTTGAGTCATTCTTAAGTCATTTATATACAATTTATATTCAGTAGGTGTAATTTGAAGGTAAAATGATTATACCAAACAGAAATGCTTGAAGATTTAATATGAGGTTCATTAAAAGTCGTATTTTTTGGTGAAAAAAAAACAAAATTTTGACGAAATTTGTAAATATTATGGCTTTTTAAAACATGTATAACTTCGCTGAGAATTGTTTTTAATTAGCAATGCCTACTCGTTATGCATATTTAATTTCTCTCTATATCCTATATATATCTTTTGTTCTCTCGTTAATAATGTTTATTTGTTTTATTTTGTTTACTCTCGTTTTTCGCCCAACTCCAGTTATCGTTACTTGTTTTTTACGCTTTTTGTCTTGGCTGCTGTGAAAAAATTCCGCACACGGTCCGATATCTTTTTTGTGTCGGTAATCTCCCTAGAGCAGTTTTTTTTTGTTGACACTGTCTGAAGACATAACCACCGTGAAACGTGTATATTCTTAACTTCTATCGGTTCAACGGTCGCTTTCGATTGTGCTATCTCGTTAATTGCTGCTATCCGGCGAGTTACAACCCGTGCCGCACGCACGATGAATACACTGCGTACACAGTAAACCTTGTTAAGCCGCGTATACACTGTTTATCAGTGATAAACTCAGTCCATTTTATATGTACAGTTACGATGTGCGTTCTTTATACGCTGCTCTCTTATCTAACTTGATAAGTTTAACGACCCGTACGGGATATAGCCAATTATCTCTTATCACCTTTTCAAACTTTTTGCTGTTCCCCTCGACATTTGTGTCACAATGAAAAATCCACTTCATCCTAAACCTGATACGCCGATATTGAAGTTCACAACCAGTCAAGTCAACTATAACTCTGGATAAAATGTGTTATCTTTTATCGGATATTAATAACAAGGTAAATACTTATGACTCCAGTTTTATGATCATCAGCACTAAACTATCCAACCTCGAATCTTGTGTAAACGATTTAAAGAATTCCCTGCGTATATTATCTTTCGATCTATCTAAAGAAAAAAAGGATAATGAGGGTTTTTTCTAAGATCCAACTATTACGTAGTAGATTAACTCAGCTAGAACACTCCCAGTCATCATCTCAATTACCTGATATCGGTATAGTTAAAGAATCCCACGACAGAATATTAAAAGAAAAAAATCTAAATATATTTAATGTGTCTGATTCTATTTCTGAAGATTCTTCTGTAACGACTAGTTTGGTTAATGAAACCCTTCAAGAATAATTTAGCCCGATCTCAGTGGCAAATGTTAAACGTTTGGGTAAACCAGGTAATCGCCCACGTACTATTCTGATCCAATAAAATTCACCTTCAGAGGTGCATTCTAATCTGCGGGTCAAATCTAAAATCCGTAGTAGTACTCAATGGAAAGATATGTCAATCAGTACGGATATGACTATTATCCAAAGAAATTGCATGAAGTCATTCCGTTCTCAACTTATGGTCAAATGGGATACGGGATACTGAAGCTGGTTCATTAAATATGTAGCCGATATTCCCAAGTTATTTATAAAAAATTAATTCTTCTCCCCAAAGTTGGTTAGGTTAGGTTATTTTTTCCAATAAAAAAAAAGGAAACGGCTATTATTCAAATAATATGTATTATATACACTCAAGTATGAGTCTATCTAACCATAGCCTCAGCTGTATAAGTTTTAATTTGATTTATTTATACTATTCATGTAACAAAAAGAATTTAATGAAACTAATTACTTAATAATTGATGTTATTTATTTTTAATTAATTATAATTTTATTATAGATTTCAGAAATTCAGAATGTTGGAATAAACAACGATTTATTGATTGTGTCGGTAATATGTTAAACATTCATCACGTGGTCGACATGCTGAACATTTCATACGACTATAAAGAGTGTGTGTAAGTGTCTAAAGTCAAATATATTATATTATTATAGACTAGTCCGGCGTTACCCATGCTATGAGACATAATATTTATTTTTTTTGTTTGATTTGTTTTTACTTTTTTTAAATTTCTTCTGTATCCCATGTAGATATAACCAATGATCGGCAAGAATAATTTGATCTAGGACTATATCTATGCAAAGTTTCAATTCAATCCGTTTAATCATTCCATCCAACTATCAAACAAACTTTCGCACTTATTAATTAGTAGCATTTCGATTATTATGTTATTTTTATAGATTCTAAGTTTATAACGAATTAGTTACTCGTATTTGTTTTATACTAAGAATTAATGTTGTTTTTCTTCTCAATGAATACATTTACGGTTTGTAAAAATGTATATTATTCATACCGAATTGTTTATATCGTACCTCAAAAGATGCGAATTTCTCGACTGGCGATTTTGTTTTTGTTGATTTTTTGGTTATCTATTCTGGAATACAAGGGAAAAAAGTAAAATCAATATAATGTAAACATAATAGTATACCGAACTCCACTCAGAATCGTTTATCGATTGCAATGATTTACAGTCGCTGACAGTGTAATAAAAATTATGAATCACTGCCTATCATAGTGGGATGAAACCAATATTTAGCTCGCCAAAATTCCCATTTTTAAAACACAGAAAATCGCATGCCAAATGTAAAATATATTCAAAAAATCGAATCCACGTATGTAGAGTAGATAATCCAAATTAATAGTGTATGGTTTGTTTGGACATTTTTCTAACAGTTTCGACATTATTAAAAGATGTTGTTTTACACCCACAAATATAACACGGGCACAAATCTGGGCAATGTGTTGATTATAGAGTTGCAAACCTAGAATAAAATTAAATTTAAATGTTGTATAATCTTAATTTAAATTTAAAAAATGCATTATGTTTAGTGTACCTTATCATTGACCATTGGAAAGTTATTAAAGTATGTGTAATATGAACTATTGTCCTGTCAAATGTCATATCTGTGTTTAATAGTTGTTGCATTTGTTTCAATATCGTTAACTTCTTGTTCGGTACTCTCTTTACTTTCTTTTTTAAACATGTATTTTATGGGGTGACAAAACTTAGTGGATGCCGAAAAAGGATTGTTCCGAATAATCTCATAGTTATTTTGTACTGTCGAATAATATCTAAGTTCAAGTTTTTATAGTGGCACAATTGAAAACATAAAGACAGTTTAATCTGTTACAGTGGAATCGTCGTTGAATTTTCGTCTATATTGTTACTGACCACTACTGCCATCGCAACCCCATTTATACAACATTTCTAATTTTGTTGAACTTAAATTTGTTTTACATATAATATATTAATATTTAAAAAATTCTATTTGTTGTGTGATATATTTAATATATTCTGGAGTGGTATTTTGACATCTTGATTCTCCAATATCTATGTTATTAGGATAACAGTTTTGTTTTACTATTTTTGTATTCTTGTATGATGAGTATATATCGCAGTTTCTTTTTTTTTCGACCGAGACGAATATTTATGTATTGTTGTATAGTAAAATCATTCTCGATAGTAAATACTAAAGCATTATCTGCTGTATAGGGAATTGAGTAATTTGAGAAATTATTACTTGTTTTAGTTTGTTTAATTCTATTTGGATTTGATTGAGTTTCATCAAAATAATCGAGCAGCACTTCTTTGGTCAGACATAAATAATTTTTTTTTTGTAGCATATATAATTTGCCGTGAAGTCATATCAGAATGAGTTAATTCGGTTATAAATTTTTGTATATAATATAACCGTAATAATAGTATAGTAAACAAATAGTGAAAAAAATAGGTATAACGTATATAGGCATACGTGATATAGGTAATGAAATAATATTTTCATTTTTCATTATAATTGCAAATTGCCTTTAATTGATTACATAGGTAAATAAAAAAAATTAATTTGTATTTTGTGACAGGAATTTATGAACAAATAAAACAGAATAAATGTTTGAAAAGTTCTAAAAATTAAGTTAAATAGTATAACAAATACGTGTAAATGATTACAGCTACCTGAAACAATTTTTTTTTTATTATTTTCAATAACTTGAAATATTATATGTATGTATTCAAAATTTCGTAAAACTGCGTAATTTTCAATAATGCCCTTTAAAAAGCCGAAAAATAATGGAAAACTTGGGTTTATTGTGTTAATGTTGCATTTTTGCTATAAATGAGAGGAGAATAATATTTTTTTAATAATTCTATGTTAGCCAATGTAATAAGTGTATATTCTGAAAAAAAATTTAACTAAACTATTTTTATTGTAAAAAGTAAACTAACATTTTTAGCGTAAAAATTGGAATTCTTCAATAAATGTAGTAAACATTTCTAATCAAACCACTAAATCTCACTTGGTAATCATCAAATTGTTCTTATATTTTAAATTTACGCACAAAATAATAATACCATAAAAAATTGTTATCAATCAAATGTAGGATTTTTTGCATTTTAAAAATGGGAATTTTGGCCAGCTAAAGATTGGTTTTATCCCACTGTGGCGCCTGCATATTATTTTTTTTTCCGATTTATAGCCTACAACAATTGGTAGCCAATTCATGGTGACGGAATATTATATTCCGGCTTTTTAATCGTAAAAGCGATTAATACCATTATATACAACAATTATTATTAATAATAATAATTATAATTTATAATTATTTTATAACTGCAGTCTACAGTATTTTTAATATTGTTATAATATTATTTTGTTCCGTGTGCTCTTGGTCTCAAACATAATAATATTACCTATAGCAATACAGACTTTTGGTTATAAAATACGGCAATCTATGTACGTTATATAATTTACATAGTAGATATCAAGTCTCTAAGAAAATATTTTTTTTTTAAAAAATTGGTTAATTTCATCATGCTTTTTTATGAATTGTAATACTTTCAAGTTTAAAATTGCAAGGAAGAACTCGAGGAAGAAATTTTCGCATTTTACGAGTATACGAGTATATAATATAGAAATATAAGTTTCAATGCATATAAAATATATTTTTAAATGTATACAATTTCAATTAAATATTTTGTGTGTTTGAACTTTGTAAACTTTGTGTATACATACTAAGTTTTACAAAATTTAACAGGAATAAATTGAATTGCGAGTAAAATAAAATAAAATTCCTTTACTCCGGAAATTATTGCGCGTAACTGATATAGAACATAAAGTTCTGCTCAAAAACATTTTCAAAACGAACTAGATAATTATTTTCAAATTTGATCAAAATAATCGTAATATAAATATTATATCGTATAATATTCTTCCGTGACAGACATCCGCTTGTGGAATCGTGTACAAAATGTTTAATCAATTAAGATTAATAGGAAAATCATCTCGCGGAAAAATATCAGCTTCTTTAAGTTAACGAAAAAAAAAACGACGCATAATATTGCTAGGAGATTCGAACTAGAAAGAAAAGACTTTTCAAACAAAAAATATAAAATGAAGGGTTGGATGTGAGATGGCAGAGGTCTAGAAAACCTGCAAAGAAGAATAAGGAGATTGTTGTATAGTAACGAATTATTATTTTATATTTTAAATTATTAAATATATTGTGCAATATTTATGTACGTTGTAGGCTATATGAAAAATTAAACTTTTTACAAAAAGAATATAGACTCTTTGTAACGGGGTAACGCGTTGGCGAACTACTTATTATTTTCCCGACGGTCGGCTGTTTTGTCGGCTTATTTCAGACAGACTAACAGCATTTAGGCCTTTTAAGAAGGCCTAAATGCTTTAAAATACAAATTGACGACGTAAAGTCTAATCAATATAGATTAGATTGTAACTTTTCACTATAGGGTAGTTATATGTGTCATTAGTTAGTGACATTAGTAACTTGATTTAAAAATAAATAAATAAACAATATTAGTAATACAATAGTCAATAACTGTACAAGAATATACAACTTGACTAAATAAATATAATACGTTTAAAATGTAAAACGTATAAATATACTGTTTATATGGTATATTATAATTTTTTTCGTCTTTTTTTTTATAAGTAATAAATTACAATAAGATTACTGTATATTGATTGTACGCAATTGTACTTCCTAAAATGCCTAACTGCTGTTAATCTGTCTGCAATAAGCCTGTACAACAGCCTGCCGTTTGGAAAAATAAGTAGTTCGCAAACGGGCTATCCCGTCGCAAAGAGCCTACAGTCTTTTTATAAAAAAACTAAATTTCCATATGGCCTACAACATATATAATACATTTATATATACGATTTTTTTTTTTTTTTTGTTCCAGTCGTATGATGATTGCGATGATTTCATGTAATACGATTTCTCAACATCCGTCGTGTGACCACGGACAATTCATCAATAATTTATTATTTTTGTTTTTTTCGGAACACAAGTGCAACGACTTTGATGTACCCGAAAAAACAAACGGTGCAATGAGCTTATTTGGGCTGTTGCCGCTCTATCCGTTGGTGTCAGTCGTTATGCTTTTGAACCGTTTACAAAAAGATTGGCCGTAACAAATACGCTGGATACTTTTATTTTAGTTTTATGGTTTATCCACTAATTATTATGATTGTAAATTTTTATATCGTAATGTTATTATCAACCGACGAGGTGGTTTAACAGTCTTAATAAATTCGGCTATAATATCGTATTTATATTGGCGTTATTTAATTGTATATGCTTGGACGCTATATTTCACGTACGAATTGAGGTTAATTTATATACGCTGCTTTATTGCTTGTGCCACAGTGTTCCATTCGGGTGAATTATTAACGGAAGACAGACATAAATCCAAACGTCTGAAAATACAAGAAGATGCTGTAAAATCGTTTGCTGCACGTTTGAAAGTAATGAGCGTTTTTTTTTTTCAACGATTTAACTCTTGTTAAGGAAGTCAGGAACGCGTTACCTCCCGTATTTAAGGGGTTGCGTGTACGCAATTTTTGTATTTATCTGAACATTTTAAATTTTATTAAGTCAAAAATGTTCAAATACATTTTCAAATAGTCCCGTGTCTTAATCACAATATTTATCGTTTAATTGTGAAATTACCAAAAATCTTAACGAAAACATATTTTGCGTGGGCGAAAACTACCTACTCGGGTTTTATTTAAGAAACCGAATTTCCACCACGATGTAACAAAGTGAATTTCACTTGCACCGTGCAACATTCGTTTTAGTTTTTCAATATCACTATTACGAAATAAAATATTAGAGTTGAACAAATTATAATTATTATTGGTTTTTAAATTATATTTATATTTTTTTTTTTATTTATTTATTGTCGAAAACCAACATTGCACAATGCAATTTTTTCTTTATTTACGGTGAAAATTTGATTTATCAACTAGGTATAACCTGGATAGATTTTACAATCGAATTACGGCAGGTATCACGTCTTCTTGTGTCAATGTGTCATTGCACATGTTTCGATTAATGTTAAATAATAAAGTATTATTATAATCGACGGTATAGGAAAAAAGTAATATTTTTATACCGATAATACGTCCCAATATTATTCTGGCGTACATAATAATATATTAATGCACACAAGTGAGACGGCTAAACTATACGTTTGTAATGTATTTATACACGTATTTACTAGTGATAGTGTATACAATCGATAGTTTTAGATAGTTTCAGTGACACATCGAATATTTTATTCCAATATTTTTTCCTGTGAATGAATACTTTTTTTTCGGAAAAACTATTTGAATATATCGAATAAAAAACTATTCAAGTATACTGAATGAAAAGTATTCGAATACACCGAATAACCAAATAAAACCGGTACATCGATTAACGACCATTCGATAGGTATACTTATGAACAAAAGTTGCATTCATTGCACGGGTTTCTAAGAAATGAGAAATTACCTTTTTTATTAGTCATTTACTACACGCAAGATAAAACACCAGCTGCATTGGTGGTATCCCGGAAACGGCAAAAAAAGTAGGTAGCTAACAAAACATTTGGACTTTGGACCAATTCATAACATAGTGCATTAAAATTGAATAATTCGAAACTATCGAATAATCGAATAATTCAAAGCTATTCGGTACTATCAAATATTTTTGAACTATTCGAATATTTAAAACACTATGGAATAGTTTGAATGGTACCGTACTATCGAATAATTCGAATAGTACTATTAGATAGTGCTCATCACTAGTATTTACAAATTCGAAAAATATGCTCGTCTAATTAATACAATATATAAAAACGAAACACGTAATTATTACACAAATATATTAATAAAATCTTCTTATATATTAATATACAGGCTGTCCCACGAAGATCTAAGGAATAACCTAGCCGCGTTATGTGACAACATTGGTTTTCATACGGATTAGTAGAATTTAAAACGGCTGTTATTTAGGAACTATCTGATATAAATGTATGATACATTAAAATTTTCAGAAAAATAAACTCTACAGAAAGCCTATATTACAATTTTCCTAAAATAATAGAATAAAGTTATTTTTTAAATTTGTTTAATAATAATAAAAAAAATAAAAACAGAACTCGATTATCTTTATTATCTCCGGAGATATTCAATGGGTATATTATGGGACAGCCTGTATATTAATACAGGAATGAAATAATACGATTAGTATAAATTATTCTTCTTCTCCGTCGCCTTGAATAATAAAAATGGCTAATAGTCTACACATAAGTACACGGCTAATTAATTTCAGCAATGATTAATTGTTGCATATAAAATACATTAAATTCCATTCTATATCTTACGTTCCCAATTTCTCACCTATAACAGTGGCCCACCCACCGTGCGAAATAAGACGATATTTTTTTTTAAGTCTTGATTTTATACAATTTCTCAAAACTCGTAGTTCCGATTTATATTTTAAATTAGTCCATATAATTCTGTTTTTCTTAACATTGTTCTGATTGTTATCTGGATTTGGGCTCGGAGCCGCAACCAAAATGTCGGAGATTTAATTTTAATAGATAAAAATAAAAAAAATATTCAAGGTATTAAAAATAAATTACAAAAATACCTGCAACGTGTGTGTTTATACCTATCTATACTTACGTAATTTTATCTATACTATAAAATCGTAAATATTTTGACTTTTCAAAACATGTATAAATGAACTTCGTTCAGAATTGTTTTTCGTTACTAATGGTTTATCGTTGTTTAAAGGTATAAGTTGAATAGTTTAATGTATTCTATCTTTTAACTTTCCACCAACAACTGTGGCACACCTGTCGCCAGTATTAGCTCATTTTTAATTTGGAAATTCGAACTACGCACTTTTGTACTCTAAAACACATCATTTTTGATTTAAAAAAAAAAAACCCAAAACAACGAATCCGATAAAGAAATATAAAATAACTAAATAATACGACAGGTGGGTGTTATTATTTTTAACGTCATATAATGTTATATATTCAATATATCTGATGATGCGTAAGCGTAACAACGATGTGTGGGGGCCGATGTGTTGCCAATTATAAATCTATTAAAATAATAATTGGACACCTCTCAGAAATATTTTCAAAATACCCCACAGATTGATCTATACCACAAACGATGAAAACGTAAATAATGAAACTAATTCGATTTGTAAACGAACTGTTTTAGGATTCGTTTTAATGTATATTTATACATAATACTAATATTTAATTGTGATAAGCATTTTATGATAAAGGCATTTGACAGTACAAAAAAGATTGAAAAACGGATTTTTGTTTCTATAAATATAAACTATAAAACAATACTGAACATTTTTTAATGAATAAGCACTGCGTGTCCACTTCTTTAAAAAAAGCTCCATGAGCAGATAAAATTTCTCCTTAACTTGTTGACATGACCTCACCAGTGAGAGGATTAATTCCTTTATGTAAGATAATATTTTGTTACGGGATCCATTAGTTCAATAATTTACCATTTATTTTCTAATGGACGTTCAGTAAGTAATATCGTACTCTACTGAGTTTCCAACAGAATTTAACGTGTACCCATATGAACACAGAAAACCTAATTAAAAAAATGTCCCGTAACAATCTGTAACAATATTGGGTATTTTGACTATAGGTAGCGGAATAGTTATTTTTAATTGATTAATCTAACTTTATAGTCAATTATTTTTATCGTTAACAAACAAATTTTTAAACTTTTTTTATTAAAACTAAACTCGTTTTTTTACGGTTATTTTTCATAAATATCCAGGTGAATAAACATGCTTGTTGAAAACAAACGAAAACATGCATCTATAGGAAAACTAACGATAACGATATAACGTATTGTAATTTGAATAGGCACCTATCTATCATTACTTAAGTATTTAATCTTATTTTTGTATTGTATTATTATTGTGGTAAAACATTATATGTTGTAGTGGGTAGGTATTTATAAAACGATTCAAAAATACAAAGACGTTTAGTGAAAGTTTACTGCAGCAGAGGCGGGTAGATACTTATTATTTTCTCAGAATTCTTTAATTTTTGAGTAGTCACTGAATTACTTATGTTAACGTCAATTTTTTATTCTTTTTAAACAAACCGTTTATTTTATTTATATCGTAAGTAGCTTTTTTTTATCAAGAATTTAGTGAACGCGCATTTATACTATAATAATTTAAATGCTTATTATTCTACATTTAATTTCTATTTATTTTATCGTAAACATTTTATTATTGTGTTAAATATGTAATACTTTAGGTGCCAATTGGAATATAAATTATATATTTGTCGATTATTGCATTTAGCTTTTTAACTTACAAATATTAAAATAAATTATCTCTATATTCTATGTAAAACGATCAATTTGTAATTTTTTTTTTTCTATGTACTCATTCATTTAATTTTTATATTCATTCGCGGTTTAAATCTTGACTGTGATATACCTAATGATGAATTTTGAATTCGAAACCGGTCGTATAATACACTTACAATAATATTCCACGCGACGCATTTATTCGTTTAGTTTATTTGAAATTATATTAATTATATTAATAGATAACCTTCGGTTCGCATACCTAGATTGATATTTAAATGCTAGTTTATAAGTACTATATTTTCTTATTTTAGCAAAAGAAAGAAAATCAATGGAAATCAATAAAATTAATGGGTTACTAGATTTGTATAGCATGTTTAGCATATTTAGAAATTTATTGGTGAATATGACGTAAAATAATCTATTATATTGGAATATTGGTTAGCGCAATTAATTGATGTACCTATACATTTTTTCTATCTCAAAATTTTTCTTTTTTCACTTGCGAATTCTGGTTTGATTGATCCTTACTAATGCTATATTATCTCCTCCGGTACAAAACGACATTTTCGTAAACTAAGTTAACACGCGTTTTAATTTAAAATATTACTACATATTTTGTACTTTGTGTTTTGTTTTTATACGAAATAGGTATCTTGGTAGGACGAATAAAACAAAATAATAATAATTATAATATTTAATTTGATTATCATCGACAAAAAAGATTAAATATTATTGTAAAACAGTAGATTTGTCGTTTATTAGCTCATACAAAAACATGGTTACCTCTCGGTTACAGAGCCTGATTCTTCTAGGCTTGCAGTATTATATATGGTTTATTGTAATTTTATTGAACTGATTTACACCGCCATTATACATGGTATATATTTTCCCACTACTTGGTTAATATA